TAGGGGTGTCTTGGCCCCTGAGGGCTGGTCAGGTCCAGTTGATGCAGGGCCAGGGTGTGGGCCAGCACAGGGCAGCTCTGCCTTCTGCAGGTTTGATCTTGATTAGCACAGACCTCTCCATGGCAGGCCCTCAGCAGGAAGAAGGCTGGCAGGTGTAGTCCAGGGGCACAGAAGGGAGGGTGGAGGAGGGCAGAAGGCATGGGCAGGGTCATGGGGGCTCACAGCTCTGTTCCTCGTTCCTTACCTGTGCAGGTCCGTGTGTGTATGTATGTGAGAGTGTCTGAGGGGACGCAGTCCCCATGTGCCTAGAAGCTCAGAAGGCAGCAGCACGGCCAAAGGTCCAGACCCAGGTTAGTTTCACCGAGGACCACTATCCTTTTCTGAGTCACAGACATCTGTGAGAATCTGATACAGCTGACACTCCCTCCCACTTTAAAAAGTCTGCTTTGGATGTAAGCCAAGGTCACACCCAGCACCCACTTCAGTTGGGTCTGGCCTCCCTGAGGGGAGTAGGAACAGCCTCRGACTCCTGGAGGCTGTGTGGCCCCTTCTGCCACAGCCTTGCAGTGGCTGGTCTCCATCACCTGATAAGCTCTCGGGCCCAGAGCCACAACCCCCAGTCAACTCTGGCAGGACATGATGCTTGCCTGTCCAGTCTGCAAGGCCTGCAGTCCCACCTGACCCCTACCCTGCTCCAACCACATGCCCCTCCAAGCCAGCCTGACCCCAGAAGCCCCATGGACTGACACAAGAAACCCCACAGTCCTGCTCACCTGGGGGCCTGGTTGTGGTTAAAGGGCAGAAAGTGAGCAGGCTGGGGACATCCTGGCACTTCTCCAGCAAGGGCCTAGGCCTAGGCCCAGCCCCAGCCCCAGCCCCAGCCCCAGGCATGAAAACAGCAGGACTGGGTGGCAGGCCCAGACTACAACCAATCTGGCTGGAGCCAAAGACCTCAGTGCCACATCTATGGCTCAGACAACTGGGCAGAGCCTTGTGGGAGGGCCAGAGCTGACCAAGCACTGTTTTGGGAATTTTTTTTTTTTTAATTATGCACAAAAGAGGTGTGTTATGTGACACTGATAATGTAGGAAGCACCAGGACACTTGGGGACAGACTGAGATTCTAGGGGTATATCCCTTGGGCTCTGCAGCCTTCCAGACCTTCCTGTCCCTGCAGGGCCAGCTACATGTTCCCTTTGGACTCTGTGCTGTGAGCAAAGCCCAGGCATGGGTGCTCCCGCAGCACCCTGGGGAGCCCCCTGCTCCTCAGCCAGTGGCCTCTGATGTCCCCTCTCTCTTCTTGCACCAGCTACGGCCAGGGTATGGCGCTGAGGACATGCACCAGCACCTCTTCCACACACAGCCTGGGGAAAATGTTCCCATGGTCCCTGAGAGAACTGAGGTGCCTCAGTGCTCAGGGCTTTCAGGGAAGGATAGGTGCACTCCAACCCTCACAGTGCCTGATTCAGCTTCCACCTCAAGCCATAACCCCAACCAGCAGGATGGGTGGGGGTTGTTAAGGAAAGAGAGACACTGAGGTGGTAGTCCCTAAGTCTGTGTACTCCCCACCTCCTATATGACCACAGAAGTTGGTGCTGACGTGCCCACCTATAATCCCAGCTACTGAGGAGGCTGAGGCAGGATGGTTTCCTGTGGTACTAGGGATTGATCTCAGTATCACAGGAAAAAAATTTAAAAGCTGCCCTCAGCAGCCCCTCCAAGTTCCTGCAAAGCACAAAGAGGCCCTCCTCAGTCCCCAGAGCCACCGCAGCGTCCCTTCCATTGCTCTGAAGAACATTCTGTAACAGGCAGGGATAGGCAATGAGAAGTGACAAGTACACTCCTGTTACACCCAGACACTTTAACTACTTGGGACCTCCTCCCGGAGTAAAGAAAGCACCAAACTAAAGCATAATCACCATGGCTCAGTGGAGATGGCAGCTGGAGTCACAAGTGTACACAGCCCACACTGGGTCTCTGGGGCAGGGGTGAGGGAACTCCAGTACTCCAAGCAAAGAAACACACCCACACAAACAGCTTAGCTCAGACTTTACTCACTCAATCCCACAGGCATAACAAATGCCGCCCAGCATGTGCCCCCATCTGGGCATGCCCTCTGCTTGGAACCAGGACTTCTGGGGAACTTGGGATGAAAGGCCCCTCAGACTCCAAAAAGCCTACCCCAGGAGCTCTGTGGTTACTACACAAGAACAGGGTTCACACTGCTCACAGGTGGTCCTTATGGCCACCCCAGACTCTGTCCACACTGCTAAAATGCTCACAGGGGAAAGCTATCCCTGACGATCAGAAACAGGAGGGCTTGTGATCACTTCCTGCTGGSTCTCTTCAGTGCCACTGCGGGCTCCAATAGCGCCTGCTGTCGAAGCTGCTCAACCAGCTCCTCTACGTAGACCTTGAACAGGGGTACAGGGTCCTAAAGGGAAGAGGCTCATGGTAAGCTCATGGTAGCCTAGAGCAACTGGGCCCCTGGGGTGGGAGGGAACCAGCCACCCCTGGCCAGACATCCAGGGGAATTGGGCACGACAGGACAGGGCCTTCAGGATCCATCAAAAAGAGTCATGCCAGCTTGCTTGCCAACCTGGAGGGCAGAGCCCACCCAAGAGACAAGGTTTCTCTCCCTGGGAGTTGCAGGAGTTCCATGCCCACCCCTAGCTTCCTTGTGGTCTCAGATAAACTGAGCAGAGGGAATGGGACAACCCGCTGATATGCTGCAGGAGGACCCCATCCTGGAACTACCAGACCCTCCCAGGAAGAGCCTGGGGGATGTTGGGTGGCCCAGCTAACACACAGTGCCAAGTCCTATTCCTCCCACTGAGAGGCTGGTGCAGGAGAGAGAAGGATCTCAAGGGGCAGACGCCTGCCATGCTTCTCCCAGGCACAGCTGGAGTGAGTTCTCCTCCAGGCTCTCCCCAAGATGGCACCCCCACACTCCTCCACCTGTGGCACCAGAGAGGCCAGCAGGGCTGGGGCACACTCACGAATACCTTCTCCTCCAGGAGCCTCTGCTTCTCCACAGCCTCCTCCAGCGTCAGGCCCACCCACTCAGCCTCTTCCTCTGGGATGGCAAACTCCTGTGCAGGCAGAGGGAGGGCAGTGAGGTGGGGCTGGCTAGGGGCCACAAGCAGCAGGAAGGACAGGATGGGGAAGCCTTTACCTTGTACTTGTGGTAAATGGCTGCCCTCTGCTCAGGGTCATCAGGGTGCAGTGCCGGGTCCTGTCGGGCAAGCCTCAGCAGCATTGCTCGCTTCAGATCCATCCCAAACTTAGAGCACAAGTCCTCCTTCGGGGTCTGGCGGGAGGCTCACATGGGACCAAGTGCTGACAGCAGGGCCCCATCCACCCTGCCAGCCAGCCCTGTCAGGCTTCTAGCCAGAGCAGGCCAAGCGTGATGGACAGCACAAGCACACAGGCCTGGGTGAATGAGGACAGAAGCAATTCCAAGAGCAGGAAGGAGGTGGCCACACTCACTCAGGCCCCTTGGACAGGTCAGCTACCCACAGTGAGTGACTCTCCTGTGGGCAGGAAGCTTCAGGGGGCCCAGTCACACTTGTTTTACCAGTGACCCTCTACCCAAGATACCACATCCTCCACTGTGGTGCTGCTCTGGCCTCCCTGAGGTCTGACTGGCCACCAGATCCCACTGTCACTAGCCCGTGCTTGCCTTGAGGATATAGAAGTCAAACCCATAGGCTTCATCGATGAGGTCCAGAGTCCGCATGGTCACAGTCACGGAGAATTTTTTGTCTAGGATCTCACTGTAGAGCTCACGTTGAAACAGCTGTGGTTTCCACACCTTCTTCACCCTCTTTGAGAGCTGAGGTGCAACAGAGATCTGTGAGTGCTGCTGCTTCTCCCTGGTAGGCTGGGCCTGTGGTGTTCCCCAAGTCCTCATGTTTTCTAGAAACAGACTCCACCAACCACTGGGAATGGACAGAGGAGCCCCAGCCTAGACCTGGCTGCTCACTGGAGGTTGGCTTCCCCCATCCTTACCCCAAGATTGCTGGTGAGTATGCTCCAGAGGAACACACAGCTTTGCACAAGAAAGCTAGACAAAGAGTAGCAGGGGAGGTGTCACCGGAAATGTGTCCTCTGAAGCCAGCAGCAGAGTCCCAACAGAAGCAGACTCAGGATCCAGGCTGCATCCCTTGCAAAGAACCCGACTCTGGGTCTCAGCCTTTCTAATTCTGCCCACAAAGGAGCAATGCCAGCCCTCAAGTGTCACAAGAATTAGCATCCCACCACCGAGCAAAGCAGGCGGGTGACCCCCGACCTCCCCTCCTCCCACTCTCCTGAGCACACAGGCCTCACCCCCTTCCTTGTTTCTGACCTAGCACCACCCGGATCCGGGCGCACCCACCTTGTCGCCGTTGACGTATCTGTAGCCCACGACCCAGCCCTCGCCTCCCCACAGCCCCTGCTGGGACTTGGGCGGGTAATAGATGGGGATGGGCACATCTTCCACGCGCTCCCGCTGCCCGTTCGCGGGGTTGATCCTGAACCGGGCGCCGTGGGGCCGGTAGTGCACGGGGGCGGGCGTCCGCGCATCCTCCAGAGAGCGTAGAAAGTGCGCGGGCAGGCGGGCGCAGAGGCCTTGCTTCAGCTGTAGCTGCTTCCAGAGACGGACCGGGAACCTGTGCAGCGGCATCGCCGTGCGCCGGTGACCCACGACTTGCTCCCAGTGGAGCCGGAAGTGCGCCAGGCAGCCGCGACCTCTGCTCGCCGCTGAATGGCCGCGAAGCCCGTCTGTCTAACCTCGTCCCGCCTCCTTTCCGACTAAGGGACCAAGGAAAGAGTCCGGCAGAGAGGGCGGCGAATCAAGAAAGGCATCGTCGACAAAGTGCGGCCCAGAAAGGGCCCGCGAAGGGCGGTACGGGCAGGGCGGGGCTTGCTATCCTGGGCCTCGCCTCCTCCCGCCCAAGGAAGCAGAACAGGGGGAAAAAAAGTAGTGACTCAATTGGCTTGAAAAATCACTGTATAATATTAAATTCACCAATCACATAAAAATATGTCTTTATGCCTTGGAATATTTTACCCCCTGAAACACCATATATGCATGTTTCTCCTCTTAGAGGTTGGGAATGCTTTGGTGGCTGTGTGCAAGGTGCCTGGGGCTGGTGGAACTCCAGAAGACCTGGCCCTGGACAGGCCCAGAGAGAAAGCCCCCCAGAGCTGGAAGGGCCGCCTCCTGGTCCTCGTCAGCACCAGCTTTCCAGGGGCCTTTTCCCCACTCAAAGGGAAACAGCACTTAGGTCTGGGGGCAGAGCTCTCAGGAGCAGGAAGGCTGGGCTGAGTCTCCAGAGACTCCTCCCCAAGCTTCAGTGGGCCTTGTGCAGGGGGCAGCCCAAAAGGATGCTCACCGGACAAGGCAGGGACCTTGGAGTGAGCAGTACACAAGTGCCTTGCAACAGTGTGCCTCCTGGGGCCTTCAGAGCTGCTGAGTAGCCTCCTCCCCAGGAGGCTCTCCTCAGGATGATGGATCCACTGCAGAGAGCAGGGGAAGGGCAGGGCTCTGCTGTATCCTTGAGGGTCAATCAGCTCTTTGGTGATCTTGGTTTCTCCCACTGCAGCTGCTGCCACTGGGGGTGGGGGTGTCGCCATACCTGAGGCAGCTGGCATTCAGGGGCAGAATGTAAGGGATGCTAGGAATGCCCAGCTGCCACCCTCAGTGGACTGGGGTCTCTTTGGCCATGTGGGTCTCACATCACAACTTTACAGGGGAACAGGGAGTCTTCTCTACATCTCTGGCCATTTCAGGCCAGCAGAGCACATGGTACCTGTGGTTTCCAGGGGCCACTGCAGAAATTGCTGAGACCTGCAGAGGACTTCAGCAGCAGAAGCAAGGGAGCTGGTTGAGTTGGGGAGTGGTGATCCCTTCTTCTAGAGGAGGGAGCTAAGGTCTCAGGGCAATTTTATTTCGTTAGGAACTAGTTTGGACAGGGCTGGACAGGGCTCCTCTCCCTTGGTCCTGCTCCTGACTGAAGAAGTTACAGTAGCAGGTGTCCCCAAGCTGGCTACGTCAAGTCACTGTGTATAGCTCATCCTGATTGTTCTTGCAGATCTGATAGTGGCAGGGGAATTTCTGTGAGCAGGTCCAGGGCTCAGTCTGCTCCTCCCGTGGTGGTAGCAGGAAAGCTGCACTCCCAGCCAGCAGTATGTGCCAGATGCTGTGAGTGTAGTAATAGTTGTCACTGGTCATCATGGAGGTATAGATGGCTACGCCCATAGAGGCCATGGAGATACCAGGTAGGAGGCAGAAGGCCCAGCGCTGCCATGACGTCGGGTAGCATTGGTGCCGGTGCCTGCAGCGCTGTACCTGGAGTAAACAGCCATACAAGTGTTGGCATAGACTGGCTGCTCCCAAGAGTCCAGCACCAGTGGTCATGGGGCTGCCCAGATCTGGGCAGCAAAACCATGAGAATRGGTTGCTGAGAGGGATCAAGGGTACATGGCCACTGGTCCTCAGACCCAGGTCTTAGACACAGTCAGGCTGAGCTTCTATAGGTGCCACCAGAAGCCCTCAGCAGAGGTGGGGCATTTGGGTCCTAGACTGGATAGTAGGAACAGGACTGAGTGTGAGGCTGTCTGCTTCTAGAGCCTGCCCTGGATCCTTACCCACATGAAGGCCATGATCATAAAAGCAAAGAGGCAGGGCCCCATCATGTTCCAAATGCCTCTGCGATCCAGCTGCAGGGACATGGCGATGACCAATGTGCCCAGGAGAAACAGGACCTGGATGAGACACAGGAATGACTGCAGAGTCATGACAGTCTTGGACTGGGGCATGGCACCCAGCATGACAGGCTGACAGGTACAAGGGCCATCCTGTTGCACCCCATTACCCGCCTGCACCTCTGCCCACCCCACTTGGAGCTGCTGGCAGAATTTGCTCTGCTCTGCCCAGGAAGAGAGAAGTATCCTCCTCCAGCTCCTGTAGAATGGCTGCAGGTGAACACTGGCTAGGCACTAGAGGGGGAACTGACTTTGCCTGGCAGGCCCCTCCGGGGATGAGGTGGTGATGCCCCTCTCTGAGGAAGGAAACAATCTGGACAGCCATATGCGGCAGCTCTGCACCCACACACTTGCCTGCCCCCTCACCCCTAGGTTTCAGGGCAGCCTCAGTCCTCCCCCAGATAGTTCCTATGGGGGACTCCCACCCCCAAGTCTCTGTCAGATGCCTCTGCTCACAACCTGCAGGTTCATGGCCCAACAGCCAGCCCAGCCGGACTCCCGCTCAACCTCTGTGCCTTGACCATAGGGTTTCCCTGGTGCCCCTGGAGGCAGTACCTAGAACAGACCTGGCAGAAAATATAATACACGGGAACCAGAGACTCATCTCACTGGCCAGGTCCAGCTGCTATGTAAAACCTCCAAAGTGTCCTGCACATCATGGAACTCAGGAGCACGGCGGGGCTTCCTAGGGAGGCCTGACCTGGGGTGGGCTCCTCTGTGAGCAGGGCCCAGACAAGGGCTGAGGGCCTTGCATAACCCCACTCATGACCTTGTTCCTGGTGTCCTCTGACGGCCAGAATTCTTTCTCCACAGCTGCTGCGGCTTCTGAGGATAGCTGACAGTCATGTGAAAATCAAGGCTCAGGGCCATGACTATCCACTGCCTACTGCCTTGTACATGCTACATGTAAGGGCCTATGCTTCCCCAGAACCCAGCCCAGTCTCAGGTCACTCACGTGTTTCAGGACTGTCTTCAGCCTGGCCATGCAGAGGATCGTGACCCAGGTGGACACCCCAGAGCCCAGGAAGTCGCAGTACTGCAGTGTGTCATAGCTGAGGATGCACAACACCGCCTCCCCTGGCTGGTCACAGGCGTGGTAGAACTGCCAGATGGGGCAGTGAGCAGCAGCCCAGACATCCCCCCCAGGGGTCCCCAGAGGGGTGGGACATGCCTACCGTGGAGAAGAACATGGTGTAGAAGTAGACAGAGGCCTCCACTAAGAAGGCACGCTGCACAGACAACATGATGGGGACCAGGAACATGAGGTTGCTCAGGGTGAGCAGCAGTGCGGCCACCTTCTGCTGGGCCACCGTCTGGGCCGTGCTGTTGTCAGTGCAGCTCCACCCACGCCAGCCTGGGGGCCATGCAGTGTTCAGGGGCCTGAGGCAGGCACCTGGGGCCAAGGCTCCAAGTGGGAAGCCTTCTGAATTCCAGATCCCTACCATCACCCAGGTGCAGACTGCACAGGTGTGGGTAAGAATGGGTAGGTGGGGACAGGTGTGAGCAGGTGTGAACAAGTGGGGGCAGGTATAGACAGGTAGAAACAGACAGGGACAGGGAAAACAAGTGTGGGCAAGTATGTATAGACATGGGCAGGTATAAGTAGGCCAGGGGTAGGGGAGCCAAGGTCAGCAGATAGGACTACCCCTGGAGACACCTCACTGTTTTTGCCTAGGCGGTGGATCATAGCAGGCATGAGAATGGGGAGAAACCATTTGGCCCTGCTTTGCCTGCATGGGTCCACTCTGCAGTCCTGGTGAGGCTTCCACAGGGGATGTACAGGGCTGGGATACCAGTGTCAGCAAAGATTGTCCCTAGGTGTAGAGGTCCCAAGCCCTCACCTGCCTTGCAGCTGCAACCTGCATACAGGTAGCTATATCTTCGCAGCAAGAGGCACTGGCCATAAGGTCCGCAGTCATTCAAACATGGCACCAGGTACAGTACGGTCTCTACATGGACCATGGCCTGTTCACAGACCCTGAAAGGAGGGGACATGAAGAGGTTGACAGCAGCCCTTTACAGCCAACTTAGCACCACTGCTCCCAACAGGCTCATGGACAAATGAACCCAGAATTGAGCTCCAGGTTCCAACAGCCTGGACTGATGCTCCTTCCCCCTGCCAGGGCTGCCATGGAAGGGATGGCGGGCAGAAAGGGGGATCCACCCTGACACATGGAGACAGTAATTCCTCACTTCTGTGGGGAGCCAGGTTTCTCCCACACTTCCCATCCTGTGACAGCCACTGGCCTCAGCTCAGTTTACATACCCAGGACTCTCAGGGCACAGGAGCTGCAGGGAGAGGTACCAGCTGCTTGTCTCTGGGTAGGGGATGATGAGGTTGGCCACAGGAGAGGAGGCACGCAGAGATAAGGGGTAACCCTGAAAGAAGGCTGCATGGAGTGGGAAGGCCCATCAGAGGGGATAGAGGGGCCGGCCAGTCACCCTGCCAGTCACTCTGCCAGGTGCTGCCTGCCCACTGTACCTGTGGTGCAGTTGAGTGAAGTGTTGAAGCTGAGGAAGGCTGAGGCAGCATTCACACAGGCCACCACCAAGGTGTCCCCTGAGACCTCGGTCTGGAAGGGGAAGCAGCACAGGGTTAGTCCCCTGGAGATGTGGCATGGTGTCCACTCCTAGCACAGTCTCTCTTTCCGTTCACGGGATGGAACCCAGAGCCTCGAGGGAGCCTGGCAAGTGCTTGAGTGCCTTTCTTTTCTTTTTTTTTTTTTTTTTTTAGTGAGAGAGAATTTTTTTTAATATTTATTTTTTAGTTCTTGGCGGACACAACATCCTTGTTTGTATGTGGTGCTGAGGATCGAACCCGGGGCTGCACACATGCCAGGCGAGCACGCTACCACTTGAGCCACATCCCCARCCCTTGAGTGCCTTTCTTGAGGCTCCTACTGGATCAGGGCTCACCCCAAGCCTTCCCTCCTGGACCTGCCTCCAGCTGTCTCTGATCCTAGTGACTCCATAGCCCCTTCCTCAAGCTCATCTCTGGCCAGGCTGCCTCATGCCTGTTGGTGTCACTTTCACCCAAGAGGGTGCCAAAGTCAGTGCACAAAGGCCTAGGTAGGTTATCCAGTACCCTGAGCCAAGTCTGGGCATTAGCCACTTGCAGACAGGCCCAACAGGCTATCAGGACAGTACCTTGTTGACCCTCAGGGTGATGGTGAGGGAACCCCCACTGTCCATGCCGGTGTCCAGGCGGAGCCGCAAGAGGGAGGGAGCGTCAGAACGCACCAGCACCGAGATCCCGTCCATGGGCTGAAAGCGCACAGACACTGTGTCTATGTCCTCCCTCATGACCGGGAAGCTCAGGAGGCAGAAGGCGCCACCGCCCACCCCACTGCTCCTGCCCAGGCCCTGATGGGCAGGGCCTGGGGACAGCTGGCCCACGGAGGTATCATGGCTCTGGTTTGGGCTGTTTCGCAGAAGGCGCTGGAAGGTCATGCTCCATGGCCTGCAGGCTGCCAAGAGTACCAGGCTCAGCTGGAGGAAAGCCTGGGGGTAAGGATGGGGAAGAGACACTCCCACCCAGCCTTCCCTGGCAGCCCACCTGTGAGGGCAGCTTGGGCTATGAAGGCCACTGACACCTGGGGCCCCGCCAGGCTCTCAGCTGTTACTTGTAGCCACCGGCCCCAGGGTGGTGACGGCAGCAACAGACGACAGGACAGTGTGGGGTCTGTGCAGGTCAGCACCTTCTGGAAGTTGCTGGGAAGGGTGGCCCCGCCCACCGTGAGACGCACAGGGCAGCCCAGGCTCCCACTGGACACACAGCCCTGCAGCTCCAGCAGAAGCTCCTGGGTATACTCAGGGACGAAGATCCTGCACAAGGTGGTGTCCTCCCTCAGGCTCTGCGCTTCCTCCAACCCACTCAGCTGGGGCATCCAGCCTACTTCCCAGCAGGACCCCAAGGCCCAGGACCCAAAGGCTGGGCCCTGCAGATCGCCCCAGGCCCCACTCACTTGAGGTAGTTGGGGTGGGAGAGGAGAGTCTGTGGAAGGGGCACATCAGGCTCCAGGATGGAGACCTCCATCGCCCGCATGACCAGCATGTCAGGCTGAAAGACGTAGGCACAGGTGGGAGCAAAGCCCTAGGGAGAGAAGAAGCTTAGGGTGTAAGATAATGCAGAGTATATGGCGAGCAGCAGGCCTTGGGGCACAGGGCTGAACCCAGAGCAAGGGCTGCTCCAAAGAGGGGGATGAAAGACCATCCAAACACTCAGGGGCTCCCCACCCCTACAGGTGAGTCCCCTCACCTGTACCTCGATCTTCTGGGAGGAGGGGGGCAGATGGGCGGCCACAAACCAGTCCCCAGGGGCTGGGTGGGAGACATTCACAGAGGTGTTGTCCAGCAGCATGGAGCTCAGCAGTGCCCTGACTTGGAAGGAGGGCTGCTGGATGGTATTGTTGGGGAAGCTGGTGCCCAGCGGGTTGACAACGGGAGGGGCCCCATGGCGGAAGTGCCTAGAGGTAGGAGGATAGGGCAGGGGTCAGGGATCAAGTGAGGGACCTTGGTCAGATGCGGATGCTGTGGGCAGGTGGGAGGCTGGGCACCTACACGGTGATCTCCACATCGGTGCAGGGTGTGCCGCTGCCCCAGGACACGTGCAACAGCCAGCGCAGCAGCACAGTGTCTGGGGGCACACGGAATTGGAAGAGCCGGATGCTGCCGTACCAGCTGTAGGAGGACAGCTTCTGCGGGGCCTGGGAGAAGTGCTCTGACACCAGCCCGACCACTGCAGGAAAAGGCACAGTCAGCCAGTTCGAGAGCCCTCTTGCCTCCAGCAAAAAAAAAAAAAATGAGGCAGGGCTTAGGTGCTGCACTCAGAGGCCCCTAAAAGGAAAGGACTCTGGAAACTAAGTCCTGGAGCTGTGCTAAAGCCCCAGTTTTGCCAACTTCAACTTCAGCCAAGGTCCTCACTGCCCTCTGGCCCCTGGAGGTTGTCCCTGGTTTCTGGAGTTCTCCCTCAGGCAGCCATTCCTTCACCTACCTCCCCTGATGGCCAAAGGGACTTCTCATCCTGCAGAAGCTCCCAATAGCCAGCCCTGGCCCCCAGTTCCCTGCTTCCTAATCCTTCTCTTGCTTTCCAGTGTGCCCCATCACTCAAACTGCATGACAGTCTGGCTGAGGTGCAGGCTGAAGGACATAGGAGGTGATCAGGCAGGAGTCCCCACCCCTCCTGATGACTGCCCTGGGCACTGACCAGAGGACACACTCCTTGCTCTATGGCAAAGATGCACAGGTGAAGAGTCTCAACTCCAGTGGCTGCCTGCCTCTCTAGCCTGCAGAGACTCCGACCCACAAAAAGCCCCTGATGGGGGAACCCCAGGTCGGAAGCCTGGCCAGGCATGGGGATCAAGGGACAGCTGGCCTCTGTGCTCCAAGTAGGTGAGAACTTTAACTGCCCTTGGGGCACACATCCAAAGGTGGCTATGAAGACTGAAAGCAAGGGCCTATGGACTTGGTCATCCACTTCTGGAGCCCTGCGTGGCCACGGGTGCCCCTTCCCCTCACTAGGGCCCCTTCCCCTCCAGGGTCCTCATAGGTGGAATGGACAGTGTTCCTTCTGCCAAGGTTAATAAGCGGTGAAGTGCTTCAGGAAGAAACAGAAGCATCTGGTCTCACTCTCTGGGCTGAGCACTCCTATTCAGGAAGCCTCCCTCTGCCTCACTGAGAGAATGGCTGGCACAGGCCTCCCCCAGGGATGGGGAGGGAGCCAGGTGAGCAGCTGGTTCCCCTGCCAGCCTGGTGACTTCTCCATAGAGGCACCTGGAGAAACGACAGCAGCCTGCTGGCAAAGTCACAGGAGCACCAGAGGAGCCTGGCATGGGGGCTGGGTAGGAGTAGGCTCTGCCCACAACTCATCACAGGCTTTTCAGGTGTCTACTAGTCACCAGGTCCCACTTTCCAGGCTGTGGTTACAGAGCTAGGAGTTGCTGTAGGCTCTCAGGTGATATGACAATGTAAATAGAAACTAAAGTTCTGGGAACCGAGGCAGGGCATACCCCTGGCCTCAGGTTTGTGGGATCTTGAAGAAACGGTCATCCAGTCAGGCATCCCATCTCTGAGGGGCCAGGAAGGGAGAACACCCTGCAGGTGCAGCTCCCTGACTGTCCATGGGAAAAACCTTACTGGCCCCCTACAATGCCAGTCTGAGGATTCCTGGTACCTAGGTGGTAGCTGTGATATTTCAACAGATAAACAAGAGATAAGAGACCAGTTCCAGGTTGCCCTAAGACTTGATCCCATGTCCCCAGGGCTACACAGCCCCTCCAAAGCTCCTGGAGGCTCTGCAACCCAATTTCCCTGCCCAGATGCCCACTCTGGTATCTTGGTGACATATATGGTAGTCAGCAAGATAAGCTGAGCCCCATGTGATATCAGGAAGGGTGAGGAGCACCAGCCATAGGCACCCTTCCCTGTCCCACACACTCCATAGATAAAGGGTTGGGTGGGGAAAGGGGAAAGGAAGTCCCTGAGCCAGCCCTGAGACCCTTGTCTCACTTCTTCCAAACCAGCTAGGGACCTGGCCATGCTCAGAGCCCAGAAGTCACTAGCAGCCTGCCTTTCAGCTGACCTGATAGGGTCTAATCCAGGTCACCAGGCCTCTATCCTATCCTGCCCAGCCTAGGTGCTCCCTGCACCACCTGCCAGTGACACCCTCACCAGGGTCTCATCCAGGGGATGGAAAAAGAGGAGAAAGTGGAGTAATCAAATCCAGGGTAGCATTTAATCAGGAGCATTGTCCTCAGGAAAAACTGTCTTTTAAGCTGCACCAACCTCAAAAACCAGAAGGCATGGCCCTCAAAAAACAGAAGCTTAGAGGAGCAATATTTCAGGTAAAGAGGGAGAGGCTGAGCACAGGGAAGTGGAGGAGCCAGCCCCTGGAGCACTAGATGAACCCCAGAAGCCCGAATTACAGTCTAGAGGTAAGGGTGTGTAGGGACTGAGGTGTAGACAGCCTGGCTGTCCCAGTGCTAAGCAGAACCCAGAGGGGTGGCACACCCTGGTCTAATCACTTCACTGGACCTCAGTCAAGGATGGGAAACCTCAGGGAAGCAAGCAGGTTCCTCGCTAAGAGGAGGCGCCCTTCCTCCAGATCCGCCCTTGCAGGCGGCTGCCTCAGATCAACTGAGTACAGCCTCCAGGAAGCAAGACGAGCAAGTTCAAAGTGTTTGCACTGGGGGTGGGGAGGCACCACGAAAGGGGTGCATATGGGACCCCTACTCCGGGGTCTGAGCAACTTTCTTCCATCTCTGCCCTGCGAGAGGAGATGGGGCCCTTAGAACTCCAACCCCACCATTCCTCCCAGCGGGTTTCCGACCCGGGCCCCAGAGCCCCTCCACCTCCGCGCTCAGGTGTGCTACCCGAACGCTCTGGGAGCAGGAGGGAGCGAAGCGCACTTTCCGAAGGCCTGGCCTGGCCGAGCCCCGCCCGGGGAACGGAAGAAGGAGCACAGGCATCTTCTCCGCCCGAGCGCATCAGGAAGGGCGCCACCGGGTGGGGACGTAGGCCTAGCGCTGGCGCCAGGTGAGCGCACAGGTGCCCCCCGTGAGTCACAATCGGGCCCCGCCCCCAGGCCCTCCCCCCACCCGCCGCGACCCCCGATGGCTCCGCTGTCCTGCGCTCGCTCACCGCTCTTCTTGTGTTCGCCGGCGGTGGCCGGCGGGGACCGAGTTAGCAGCAGCAGCAGCAGCAGCAGCGGCGGCCCAGCCACCGCCGCTGCCCGCGCCGCGCCCCCGGTCCCGGCCCGGCCCATAGCTCCGCGCTTGGCCGGCGCTACCCGGCCCGCGTCCCGCGCCGCCCGCCCCCGCCGCCGCTCGGGCAGCCGCCGCCGCCTCTGCGGCCGGCGCCGCAGTCCGGAGTCCCGGCTCCCATTGCCCCGCGGGTTGGKTCGCCGGCGCCCGGGGCACTTCCGCCTGCGAGGCCCCGCCCCGCCGGGAGCCGGGGCCGAGGCCCGGAGTGGGGAGGGCAGGAGGGGTGGCGCGGACCGGGAGGGGCGCGGGGGACGCCGGAGACGACAGCGTGGGGCCGCGACCCCGCGTGCAGCGTCAGGGGAGACCTGTGGCCCTGGGTGGAGGGACACGTAGGACGCGTGGGGGAAAGGGACAGAGTGGACGCATGAGGGCCGGAGGGCCAAGTGGTGCGCAGACGGACGGGGAACAGAGGGGTCACGCGGGACGCACAGAGGGATACGGGGCAGAGGGATTCCGGGTCACTCGGAACTAAGGGGCACGCTGAGCACGTCTCGAACGCGCAGGAGGTACAAGGTGGTAGGGGCTTCTGGGCCCCGGAGCCCTGGGCACGTGAGGATTGGTGCGCCTTTCATAGCTGAGTCCTCTAGCGTGGCCTCAGGCCCATCATACCACGAAACCGCTATCAGGATGGGTAAAACCCATTCATGGAAAGTCGCTTCTTGCACTTTTGGGAATTTATTAACTGGATAAAGGTGGAGATTCACGTAGGTGGGTGGGACTAGCTCCTCACCTGCTGGCAGATTCCATGCAGATTAAGGATTAGTATACAAAAACCCTAGGGGAAAACCCAGAAGGTGTGAGAGGCAAGACTGGGGAAACCAAAGAGGTGAAAAGCTTTCTGCAGAGCAAAACTGCAGGAGCAAAGTGTGTGTGTGTGTGTGTGTGTGTGTGTGTGTGTGTGCGCGCGCGCGCGCGGTGTGTGTTTGTGGGAGGTGCTCCAATTAAATAAGCCCGAAGAGGTGATCCTAAGAATAATAAGTGAAGATCTCCTGCAGACCATTAACACCAAAGCTCTTTGAAAATGGTCAAAATGCTACACAAGGTCAGGCAGACCAACAGGAATGGTGCCCCCTCCCTTGCTAGAAACTGACACAGATACTCAGATGACTATTCCTACGGAACAAATCACAGACCAACAAGTTTGATCACACAGGAAAGGTGGATTGTGTAAGGCTGGGAGATTAGGTTGCCTCCGGGACCCAAGGGGCTTTCAAAAAWTAGCAGGAGCAGACAGCCTGGATTGGTAATTCACCGCTGAAGTCTAACTGTTGCTGTCCTCAGAAGTGGGAGGCTGTTTTTGTCCACCACTATTCTGTATAGATACACCTAGAGGATGATCAGTAGTAATATATGGAATTGGAACCATGAAGTATCTATATCATGAAGCAAATACTGTGAAGTACTTGCTTTGTTGTTTGGGAATGTGCTACCAAGTACAGCACCATTAGCTGGAAAAGGGCAGAAAAAGAAAAACTAAACAAACAAAAAAAAAATGGGCAGAACAGGGTGTTCAGAAAGCTACCATTTTTTGAAGAAAAGGGGGGGAAATACATCTCACTCTCGGTGTCAAAGGCTGTCTCAGGAAGGAAAGATCAGCAGATTACACTGGTTGATCCTGGGGGAGGGGAACCATTAGCCTGGAACCATGGTGAGGAGGCCCTATACATATTTAAATCTTTGGAATGTTGTACCGGTATTGGGGAAAGAGAGTTGACCTTGCAAGTCCAAGGCCACTGAAGGCCAGAGAAGGGCAGATGGAGAGTGTTGGCTAGAAGGAAGGAGACCCTGAGATCCTATATTTTTCCCCCCTGGAATGTAGGCTGGGCCCTCTTTACCCCTGACTGCTGGAGGCTCCCAGGCAGTTGTCAGTTTAAAGGGATAGAGGTCAGATTCTGAATTTTGCTGAGCTGTGATTTTAGTGCACCACACTGTAGCCACTGAAGCGACCCAGAATTGTGCCTGGACAGCAATTATGGTCAGCAGAGGATGCGCCATTTGCTGCCCCAGGCTGGGCTCAGAGTCCCCCTCAGTCCTCCCCACTCCAACAACCTTCCCGAGTGTGCTTCTGTGTCTAAGTTTTCAGTGCCTCAGGTCCCCAGATGGGTGGGAATGACGTTGCAGAACTCCTCTCCAGGGCTAAGTGATAGCTGAACAATGGAAGGAGTTCTGCCACAGGAAGCAAGGCTTCACTGCACTAGCAGTTAAGGAACTATAAATTAAAAGAAGTCACCTGGTTAGGAAAAAAAAAAAGTGGGGGGAGCACTTATTGCCCTACCAGGGAATGGGCACCTCACCCTTTGTGGGCAGGAATGTGAACCAACCTTTAAAAGATAATGTGGCAACATTAACATGAAATAGAAAAATAGGACCTGGGGACAGATACACAAAAGTGTTTGCTGCAGAACTGTTTGCATTTGCAAAAACCTGGGAGCTCCTAGAGGGATGAGTGAATAATTCATAGATATGTTCTGAATATTGATGCATCTTTTAGACAAGTCTGTGGGTCTTCTGAAGGATGGCCTATGAAGCAGGAAGATCCAGTTGTTGGTTAACATGGATATATTTCCAGGCAAACCAGATTACCCTTCCCCTCCCTAGCTCAGACTCCAGTGAGCACTGGCCCCAGAGTAGACTGCTTGTGGGGAGAAGGTTGCAGAAGGGGTAGGGGAGATCCCACAATTGGTGTGCTTTTCAGCCAACCACAAAGGTGTGCTCTGTGTACAAATTTCAAAAGTTTAACAAATGGAGGGTTGGGGCTGTAGCTCAGTGGTGGAGTGCTTGCCTCATATGTGTGGGGCACTGGGTCCAATCTTCAGCATTACATAAAACAAATAAAAATAAACATATTGTGTTCATCTATTTCTATTAAAAAAAAATTTAACAAGTGGAAACCAACCAACCAAACTATAGTTCAGTTAGGTCAAATAACCAGAGTTAAGGGGCAGTACTTAATTTCTAAGGGTGTTTCTGAGCTTCTGGCCCTGTTCTGGAGAGCAAGCAAGTATGAGAAGTTCTCTCCTGATTGCCTACCCTTCCCTTGACCTAGCAGATACTCAGCCTCATCTTCTATTTCCCTTCTAGTTGAAGGCAGGTGCTTGTCCTGCACATATTGCAGGAAAGCCTGAGGCCCTCAGACACCCTCAGCTGCTCTCTCCCATCCTACACCCAAAGTCAAACCCTCCTTCATACTATTTTCACCCAGCCCTTTTTATTTTATTTTGAGACAAGGTTTTGCTAAATTGCAGAGGCTGGCCTCAAATTTGCAGTCCTTTTACCTTAGCCTCCCGAGTCCCTGGGATTGTGGGCATGTGCCACTATGCCCAGCATACTATCTTGTTTCTTGTTGCTATGTGGTGTGTCTTGAGTCAAGAAGTGTGAGTCTTCTTCCTTTGTTATTTTTCAGGCTTTTACTGGCTATTCTGGGTTTCTTGCAAGTCCACTGAATTTTAGGATCTACTTGGCAGTTTCTACAAAGAAGTCTGATGGTATTCTGAAAGGGATTGATTTGAATCTACTAGTCAGTTTGAAGAATATTGCCATTTGAACAATATTGAGTCTTCCAACCATGAACACGGAGTGTTCTTTCATTTATTTAGAATTTTATTTCTTTCAACAATGATTTATGGTTTTATGTTTTCAGAGTATAAGAAGTCAAAAAAAGATAGCAGAAAATAACTTTGAGATGGATGAAAATGAAGACAAAACATATCAAAACTTAGGGAATTGAGCTGAAGCAGTGCTTAGAGTAAAATGTATGGCTGCAAACACCTGTACTAAGAAGTACATTCTCAAATCAGCAACTAGTCTCCTACCCTAAGCTCCTGGAAAAAGAAGGTCACTTCTGTAAAATATTGTACAGAGAGTTAAGCCAGAGCAACTAGACAAGGATGAAATAAAAGACACCCAGAAAGAAGAAGTAAAGCTACCTCTGTTTTCCTTCCTTCTGTAAGATCAGGTGAGGCAGGCAGGGACCAAAGGAGGCAGATTTAAAAAGTCTGCCAAAGGAGGCTTTATTTGAGATATCACTCCCTGGCGGAACTGGATGAGATGGACAGAGTGGACTGGAGAAGGGTCTGAGGAGAAACCGCCTGGGAGCTTGACCAGACTGGGATTTTATGGGGTTCATGGCAGGAAGGAAAGGGCTTGGGACAGGAAAGGGGATTTTTAGGGTCCCTTGTCCCGCTKSAGTTGGTCAGGGGAACTGGCTGAACTCCAGGATTGGCCAGGGGTTCTGCTGATTGACAGGTGTTAGTCAGGAGATCCTGATGATTGACAGGTGTTTCCGCCAGCGCCTGATTGATGTTTCTTTCCACATTTATATATAGTGTGAGTATTTATATACTCACACTCAATAGCTGAAGACCAATTCTTTGTTGGGCTGCTTTGTTCTAAGTCACTGCCACCAACCTGACACCTTCCCTCCCTCCCTCCCGCCTCCCTTTCCTTTCCTTTCCTTTCCTGTACTGGGGATTGAACCCCGGAGCGCTCTAACAGAGTACATCCGGAGCGATTTTTGTTTTTTATTTTGAGGCACGGTTTCACTAAGTTGCTTAAGGTCTTGCTGAGGCTGACCTTGGACTTGGAATCCTCCTGTCTCAGCCTCCCGGGTGGCTGGGAGTATAGACATGTGCCACTGTGTCCAATTCCTGTGTTCTTTCTCTTCTTTCTTTTTTTTGGGGGAAGAGGGAGGGGGTACCATCCCCTATTTTGTATTTTATTTAGAGACAGGTCTCGCTGAGTTGCTTAGTGCTTCCCCGTTGTTGCTGAGGTTGGCTTTGCAATCGTGATCCTCCTGCCTCAGCTTCAAGAGGTGCTGGGATCACAGCAACCACTGTATTTTTTTTTTTAATATTCATTTTTTAGTTGGACACAATATCTTTATTTTTATGTGGTGCTGAGGATCGAACCCAGGGCCTCACACCTCGCATGTGCTAGGCAAGTGCTCTACCGCTGAGCCACAATCCCAGTCCCCTCCTCTGTTCTTATATGGCATGGATCATCT